CCTAGCTCCCTTGCAGTGCTCCCCTTTCTTTGTATTTGTCTGGCTCCTCCTCCTTAATTCCCCACTACTACCACTACCACCACTACCACTACTACTACTACTACTACTACTACTACTACTACTACTACTACTACTGCTGCTGCTGCTGCTACCACTACTACTACCACCACTACCTCTTTCTGGCTATATATAGCCGTCCTGCTCCACTTCTGGTTAGTGTGACTTTGTAAATGGTCCAAGTCGGACCGAAACGTCGTCGTAAGCTCCTCTTTTCTATGTGTGGGTTATTTGTGTACAGTTAATGAGATGATGGAATGTGTAACAACAATGTGCAAGGAGGCTGAGGAGAGGTTTGTACCCAAGGGTAACAGGAATAATGAAAAAGCCAGGATGAGCCCATGGTTCACCCAAAGGTGCAGAGAGGCAAAAACCAAGTGTGCCAGGAAATGGAAGAAGTATAGAAGGCAAAGGACCCAGGATAATAAGAAGAGTAGTCGTAGAGCCAGATATGAATATGCACAGATAAGTAGGGAGGCCCAAAGACAATATGAAAACGACATAGCAGCGAAAGCCAAATATGACCCGAAACTGTTATACAGCCACAGGAGGAAAACAACAGTCAAGGACCAGGTAATCAGGCTAAGGAAGGAGGAGAGACAACAAGAAATGACCGTGAAGTATGTGAAGAACTCAACAAGAGATTCAAAGAAGTGTTCACATAGGAGACAGAAGGGGCTCCAGAAAGACGGAGAGGTGGGGCACACCACGAAGTGCTGGACAGAGTACACACAACCGAGGAAGAAGTGAAGAGGCTTCTGAGTGAGTCAGATACCTCAAAGGCAATGGGGGCGGATAACATCCCTCCATGGGTCCTGAGAGAGGGAGCAGAGGCGCTATGTGTACCCCTAACAATATTCAATGCATCTATCGAAACAGGAAGATTGCCTGAGGCATGGAAGACAGCAAATGTAGTCCCAATCTTTAAAAAAGGAGACAGACATGAACCACTAAACTACAGACCAGTGTCACTGACATGTATAGCATGCAAAGTCATGGAGAAGATTATCAGGAGAAGAGTGGTGGAACACCTAGAAAGGAATAATCTCATCAACAGCAGCCAACATGGTTTCAGGGACGGGAAACCCTCTGTCACAAACCTACTGGAGTTCTATGACACGGTGACAGCAGTAAGACAAGAGAGGGAAGGGTGGGTGGATTGCATTTTCTTAGACTGCGAGAAGGCATTTGACACAGTTCCACACAAGAGATTAGTGCAAAAACTGGAGGACCAAGCAGGGATACAGGGAAGGCACTACAATGGATCAGGGAATACTTGTCAGGAAGATAGCAGTGAGTCATGTTACGTGGCGAGGTGTCAGAGTGGGCACCTGTGACCAGCGGGGTCCCACGGGGGTCAGTCCTAGGACCAGTGCTGTTTCTGGTATTTGTGAATGACATAACGGAAGGAATAGACTCCGAAGTGTCCCTGTTTGCAGATGACGTGAAGTTGATGAGAAGAATTCATTCGATCGAAGACCAGGCAGAATTACAAAGGGATCTGAACAGGCTGTGGACCTGGTCCAGCAATTGGCTCCTGGAGTTCAACCCCACTAAGTGCAAAGTCATGAAGATTGGGGAAGGACAAAGAAGACCACAGACGGAGTACAGTCTATGGGGCCAGAGACCACAAACCTCACTCAAGTAAAAAGATTTTGGGGTGAGTATAACACCAGGCACATCTCCTGAAGCGCACATCAACCAAATAACTGCTGCAGCATAGGGGCGCCTGGCAAACCTCAGAACAGCATTCCGACATCTTAATAAGGAATCATTCAGGACCCTGTACACCGTGTACGTTAGGCCCATATTGGAGTATGCGGCACCAGTTTGGAACCCACACCTAGCCAAGCACGTAAAAAAACAAGAGAAAGTGCAAAGGTTTGCAACAAGACTAGTCCCAGAGGTAAGGAGTATGTCCTACGAGGAGAGGTTAAGGGAAATCGACCTGACGACACTGGAAGACAGGAGAGATAGGGGGACATGATAACGACATACAAAATACTGAGAGGAATTGACAAGGTGGACAAAGACAGGATGTTCAGAGATGGGACTCAGCAATAAGGGGACACAGTTGGAAGTTGAAGACACAGATGAATCACAGGGATGTTAGGAAGTATTTCTTCAGCCACAGAGTAGTCAGGAAGTGGAATAGTTTGGGAAGCGATGTAGTGGAGGCAGGATCCATACATAGCTTTAAGCAGAGGTATGATAAAGCTCACGGCTCAGGGAGAGTGACCTAGTAGCGATCAGTGAAGAGGCAGGGTCAGGAGCTAGGACTCGACCCCTGCGACCTCAACTAGGTGAGTACAACTAGGTGAGTACAATACTACTCACTTTGTACTACTCTCTAATCTATCCTTACCTGACTTGCGGTATTTGTGTTGTGGGATCTATTATAGCAAATCAACTAAAATTCATTGTTATTCAACATAATTCGCTAGGTAGCATAATCACTCATTCAGGTTGCAAACAACACACACACTAAACAAAAGTCTCCACTTAATGAACACACAACTTCCACACTTACCACTGTGCATGTTAAATATACTCGATACTCAGGATGAATCTCAACCCAGTCACCCTGATACCAGTCATTCTGATACCAGTCATTCTGATACCAGTCATTCTGATACCAGTCACTCTGATACCAGTCACCCTGATACCAGTCACCCTGATACTAGTCACCCTGATACCAGTCACCTTGATACTAGTCACCCTGATACCAGTCACCTTGATACTAGTCACCCTGATACCAGTCACCCTGATACCAGTCACCTTGATACTAGTCACCCTGATACCAGTCACCCTGATACTAGTCACCCTGATACTAGTCACCCTGAGACCAGTCACCTTGATACTAGTCACCCTGATACCAGTCACCCTGATACTAGTCACCCTGATACCAGTCACCCTGATACTAGTCACCCTGATACCAGTCACCCTGATACCAGTCACCCTGATACTAGTCACCCTGATACCAGTCACCTTGATACTAGTCACCCTGATACCAGTCACCTTGATACTAGTCACCCTGATACCAGTCACCCTGATACCAGTCACCTTGATACTAGTCACCCTGATACCAGTCACCCTGATACTAGTCACCCTGATACTAGTCACCCTGATACCAGTCACCTTGATATTAGTCACCCTGATACCAGTCACCCTGATACCAGTCACCCTGATACCACTCACCCTGATACCACTCACCGTGATACCAGTCACCCTGATACCAGTCACCCTGATACCAGTCACCTTGATACTAGTCACCCTGATACCAGTCACCCTGATACCAGTCACCTTGATACTAGTCACCCTGATACCAGTCACCCTGATACTAGTCACCCTGATACTAGTCACCCTGAGACCAGTCACCTTGATACTAGTCACCCTGATACCAGTCACCCTGATACTAGTCACCCTGATACCAGTCACCCTGATACTAGTCACCCTGATACCAGTCACCCTGATACCACTCACCGTGATACCACTCACCCTGATACCACTCACCCTGATATTAGTCACCCTGATATTAGTCACCCTGATACCAGTCACTCTGATACCACTCACCCTGATACCACTCACCGTGATACCACTCACCCTGATATTAGTCACCCTGATACCAGTCACCCTGATACCAGTCACTCTGATACCAGTCACCCTGATACCAGTCACCCTGATACTAGTCACCCTGATACCAGTCACCTTGATACTAGTCACCCTGATACCAGTCACCTTGATACTAGTCACCCTGATACCAGTCACCCTGATACCAGTCACATTGATACTAGTCACCCTGATACCAGTCACCCTGATACCACTCACCCTGATACCACTCACCCTGATACCACTCACCGTGATACCACTCACCCTGATACCACTCACCCTGATATTAGTCACCCTGATATTAGTCACCCTGATACCAGTCACCCTGATACCACTCACCCTGATACCAGTCACCCTGATACCACTCACCCTGATACCACTCACCGTGATACCACTCACCCTGATACCACTCACCGTGATACCACTCACCCTGATACCACTCACCGTGATACCACTCACCCTGATACCACTCACCCTGATATTAGTCACCCTGATATTAGTCACCCTGATACCAGTCACCCTGATACCACTCACCCTGATACCAGTCACCCTGATACCACTCACCCTGATACCACTCACCGTGATACCACTCACCCTGATACCAGTCGCCGAACTAAATTTACATGTCAACGTGCTCTAACACCATATATTTTGGATACGGTTTCTTTTTAATACTATAAATACCAATGCGAACTTTTCCTGTTGCCTTATGTTGGGAGGGGACAGAGTGCTTGCAGTCTGATGTTTCCATAGTCACTGATGTGGAGTCTGTTAATATCGACTTATATCCCATATCAGCAAATATTTATTGGTTTACCGCTCTATATCATCTCATCTGAAATTAAATTTTGAGTGTATTTAACTGAGAACTGAGCACAGTTTCTATAAAATCAATAAAACCCATACTTGTTACTTTCTATGATGGTAGATAGTCACAGGTATTCAAATTTTCTGTACCGTGAGGGTTTATAACAACCACAATGTTTGCCTGATGTTGAGAGAAACTGAACAGTTTATTCCTTTTATGGTAGTAAAGATGGAATATGTAAATACTTATCACAAGGGTAATAAATGGTACGAAGTCTCTCCTACTTTATTTTTATCTCAAAAATTCACTCTAGTAATGTAAATATTTTAAAAAATCATGTTAAAAATTTTGCTATGTTCATTTTCATTATTTCCAAACTCATATGAATTATTAAATCAATATATATATATATATATATATATATATATATATATATATATATATATATATATATATATATATAATATATATATATATATATATATATATATATATATTATTTATATATTCCCTTTTTCGGCAAGAAGAGTGTTGCTAATTATTCCAAGCGCTTTCGTGACTTCTCATATTATCAAGGAACTATAAAAATAAAATTACAACGGTAAGGCATATAAGGGCAAGACTACACCTCACAGTCACGTCACAACACCTGACTCTGTGAAACACAACTGATACTCTACCTAAGCATTAAGATTTTATACTTGTCAAATGTATCACTAAATTCTTACCAGATTTTGTTAATTATAAATGAATCTAATTTACATAACCCAAAAGAAATATTCATATTATTGTCAAAACTACTTTTTATGAAACATGATTCAATTATATTCCTGTCGACCATGGACTTGCTTGATACTACTTTCTCAGCTTTTTGAAAATCAATTGGATGGTTAAAATCTCTTACACGAAATAAACAGAGCATTAGAATCTTGTCCAGTTCTAATGCTATATTTATGTTGTTTTAATCTTAGTTCGAGATTTTTACCAGTTTGACCGTAATAAACTTTATCGCAAATTTTACAAGAAATCTTATAGACACACCCGTCAGTATTTTGAGGGGAATTTTTTATCAAAAGCTTTTTACTGTATCAAGATTTTTAAATACAACTTTGATATTATAAGTCTTAAGAAGAGAAGGTATATCAATCAAGTTTAAAACAAAATATTCCCAATTGCCCACAAAGATTCTTTGAATCTTATGATACATTTATTAGTAATAAAAATCATCATTCACTATATCTGAACATTATAGAACTAATATTAAAATATGATAACATCAGGAGAGGTTTTTAACCTAATAAAGACAATCTCAGTCTTATCAATTATAATAAAATACTGTAAAAATTAAATTTTGCCACATTGAAGCTCACTCATCAAAACATTACATTACCTGTTACCGTTATGTCCTTAAAACGAACAGTAACAGTAAACAGATGGCACACAGTAACTCTCATCCTTTGGCTTGTTTAGAAGAAGTGTTGGTGGTGGTGTTGCACTGACCAGCTACTTCCAGCTTTCTTGAAATAACTATAATTCCCCGGGTGTTTCCCGGTGGACAAAATAAAGAACTCTTGCACAGAGGAATTCTTATACAATGGCAATTTAACTTCGTGATAGTTTGGAGTCAGGAAAACTGCTTTTCCAGAAGTACATCATGCATAATACTATAACACAAATCAAGCATCTTAACCAGAATTGAAAAATATATCTGGTATGTCTTAGTAATAGGGAACTCAGACAAGAACCAAGGTACTTGGTTAATTGGACTTAAAGTCTTTCGACTACTCAAGGAGTCACTAAGACTGCATATGAGATGTTCACCACCTTAGTCTTTAAAACAGAAATTATGGAAAAATCTCCGTGTATATACAATGATAAACACACAGTTTTCGGTGTATAGATCCTATATGAATGCTCACAACATAAACTTATTGTACTAAACACACTGAAATATAAAACCGTCAGTATAAACATTTATAAAAATAATAAAATCCAAATTACTGTTAAACATCTGATACAATTCACCTAAGGATTGACCTCTTTTTCCCCAAGAGTACAGTGAAACGTAGGTTATGTAAATTAAACATTTAATATAACACATATTTTTCAAGTTTAGGTCATATTATGCTTTGGTGTAAAACAGAATAAAATACATATAGAAATCATATTTATTTCACTGTTTTTATGGGAGATGAGGGTGAATCTCAAGGTGTTGCAAGAATACATTTGACCATTAAGAATATTGGCCTTCCTTGAACCAGTCGTCAAAACACATACTGGTCATTAAGGCTGTAGATAACCTTTATATCCCCAGCAAAGGATACGTTTTAATCCTAAAAACGAAGATTAAAGTAAACTCGGGCTAAGAGATATGCACCTCACTATGTATATGTACAGGAAGTCCTCACTTAACGTCGTTTCGTTCAGTATATTTTGGCTAAAAGATGCAATTTCCAAAAAACCTATCAACGACGTTAAGCGAGGACTTCCTGTGCCGAGATACACACCACACAATATGTATACCTCTGGAGATACACATCTCAGGATACATACTCCAGCAGTGGTACACACACCTCTTGCTGTGTATACCATTGCTGGAGACTGTTTATACTCTCGTAAATGGCAGTGTTAGTGAAAAGTTATCAAAATAAATTCACCCGTTACTGAATTTTCTAAAACCTCCGAAGACAAGCAGCTAAAGAAATATGTAGAGTCATAAACAGATCCGCTAAATTAAAATAATTAAGAGTATGTAAATTTTACCAAGGTAATATAAGGTTGTTGGGTCAGTTTTGATAAAAAAAAAAGGCTATAATTTAGCGTATCAAAAATTTACGAGACTTTTGTTCAAGAGTCTTCATGAGTTTCTGCGAAAAAAATAATTCTTATGATAATTTAATCCAGTCCCTAAAATACTGTGAATCTTATAATTTATTACAAAATTAACTATGAGTGTATTGAATATTTCACAATTAACCCGGGTATCGGAAATTCGAAAGTGAACGACCTTTCGGTTCATATTTGGCCATTGTTAAGGAATCAATGGTCAAGGACCGACCGAAACGTAGTCTAGTTTCTTCTTTGAAATTGTAGGTTAATTGTTATTAGTTCCAGCTACGTTATTGTACTTCCATCTTCATGTATCAAAGATTTTGATCCAAAACTAAAAAAAATCCTCAGTAATAAGCGTAATCTTCAATATATCTGGTTTAATCTTTAATATATCTGGTTTAATGTTTAATATATCTGGTTTAATCTTCAATATATCTAGTTTAATCTTCAATATATCTAGTTTAATCTTCAATATATCTGGTTTAATCTTCTATATATCTGGTTTAATCTTCAATATATCTGGTTTAATGTTCAATATATCTGGTTTAATGTTCAATATATCTGGTTTAATCTTCAATATATCTGGTTTAATCTTCAATATATATGTAGCTTAATCTTCAATATATCTGGTTTAATCTTCTATATATCTGGTTTAATCTTCAATATATCTGGTTTAATGTTCAATATATCTGGTTTAATGTTCAATATATCTGGTTTAATCTTCAATATATCTGGTTTAATCTTCAATATATCTAGTTTAATATTCAATATATCTGGTTTAATCTTCAATATATCTAGTTTAATCTTGAATATATCTGGTTTAATGTTCAATATATTTGGTTTAATCTTCATTATATCTGGTGAAAGTAGAAAGTCATGGATGGATTTGCTTCACTACATACAATGGCAATAGTCTCTCCTGTTAACTTAAATTTGTTGCATCTTGACTGAAAGCCAGCACTAACAGCCTGACCGGCCAGAATAGCGGGTGAAGGATCGAGCCTTCACCAGCTATGGCCCTGAATGGCCCATGGGAGGGGGGTGGGGTTACCATTTAATGAATTACAGTACAATCCTCGTTACTGAACATCAGGATAATTCCATCCTACATTCTTCCTATATTAAGTAATTCAAACCGTGTAACATACTGCATCATTTAGGCGGCCAGAAGGAGGCAGCGTGCGTGTGTCTGGCTTCCAGAGGACGGAGGATCAAGCCCACGCCACTTTCTTTCTTGACATATTTCAACTTGCTATGACACGGGTATGAAAATCCTTCGTCTCGTGGCGATGCTTGGAGATCATACATGAGGAACTAGGCCATGGTGGGTGATGAGCCCAGCTGGAATTGGAAAAATAGATGTGGTCAATGCATTTCCTTCACACACACACAGAAAACAACAAATGTATATTGTAAGCCTCTCTGCCTCTGTCTCTGTCTCTGTCTCTGTCTCTCTCTCTCTCTCTCTCTCTCTCTATATATATATATATATATATATATATAATATATATATATATATATATATATATATATAAATATATATATATATATATATATATATATTATATATTATTATTGTTATTATTATTAATGCATCCACGATTCACTCAACTGAAACATCAGTAAAGTAATATGCTTCAATAATTAAAAACAATAACTAAATTTAGACTGAGTTAATTATAATAACAAGATTAAGTCGCTAAGTAAATGTTGATAAGAGGAAAAGAGCTTCCCATATTAACTCACAAAACTTATATTATTACCATGTTTTATACTGTGTATAAATTAATTATTGCACTATATTACTTAGCTTCAACTGGGTTAGGTTAGTTTCTTCTTAAAAAATAATAAATGCTTGTGTACTATATTATTCGATATAGTTTTTTTTTATTTCTGTTTTCAACAGTTCAGCTTAGTAAGTTTATTTAGGTACAGGTATACGTAAGTACAATTATCATACACAGTTTAACATACGTGTCAATTAGCTAGCATAACCCAAAAAAAGTCAGACTTATTTCCATTGGGGTCTTGTTGGTTTGTATGATGGAGATCATTAGGCGAAGCGTGTGTGTGTTGTATATATATATATATATATATATATATATATTATATTATATATATATATATATATATATATATATATATATTTGAAAGAGTAAATGGGCACCAAGCAAATGGAATTTTGGTACAGAAGACATCTTCTTCAGCCTCTTTGTTAATCTCTGGCCCAACTCTTGGGCATCACCTTCTGCACTTCCACTAGTGGGTCCCGCTCACACTGATGATGCCTTTAACTGCTACACCCCATCTGACTCCTACATAATCGACCAAGTGATATATGAAACAAGAAGTTTTATGGGGAAAGTTGACCAGTACCTTCAGCAAGTGCTAGATCAACCAGGCTGTTATGGTTATGTGTGCCAGCACCAGCAGCTGGTCGACCGTCAATCTCATTTCGTATTGTGGAGCGCTACTGCCTGGTGAGTGTTTCCGTGTGGGATGAGAAAAAAAACTCCCATCACAAGAGAGCATAGATCGCTGAACGCTAAGATGATAGGAATTCCTTTTCCAGCAGAGGTGGTTAACTAGAATTACTAAGATATTGTGGCGGTGGTGGAGGTAAACTTAATGAGACTCAGAATTAGATATGAGAGTCCAAGAAGTCATTTTGAGTGGATCTGAGTACAGAGCTTTTTATCACATCCATCTGCTCTCACTTGCTCACACAGCCTCCCCTTCTATATATCTCACACTCACTTAAGTTAGGGGCCCCTAATTCTTCCTTTACCCCTCCATATCAACTCGTCCACTTTCCAGCTCTACAGTGGCCCACCACCCTTCCCGTTCTCCAAATGTCTTCCCGTACCCCACCACCAACCACCCTTCCAGTGTGCCTTCACTACATTCGTGCCCAACACCACCATCTACTCCCGACAAACTGGTACCTTTAACCCTCAACACACCACAATGGAATACTTGATGATATCTTCACTGCCCTACTGAAGTCTCCCAGCTCAGGCTTACAGCTTACAACACCAATGTGACCCATCCTGCGTGATGGAAAATGACAGAGGAAGTATCATTAGATTACCATACAAAATTACAGTAGCAGCTGATCTTAAAATATTCTAAAACAAAGATTAAATTTTAGGAAAGACTTTTTTTCTGTTTTTACGTGAGGTTACAAGAAACGTAATTGATGTTATTTTGTGTATTTATTAGCGGAGGCTCGAGCCTCCACCACTCTTTGCGTTGTATAACCAACAGCGACTGTGAAAGCAATAATGGGGATCGAACAGATGGCGTCACACCCAAGAGGTCACACAGTACCGACAAGGCCACGTCTGTACAAACTCTTCCGAATACTGAACTGTACCTAGAACTGGGTTATGAAGGATCCCAATTTATTTTATGTTTGGTCACACAGCTTTAGGCCCTGTCTATAAATATAGTTTACCATTTTTGTTGTGGTTTTTGACTCAGAGGGCCATTTACCTCCCGTCTTCTAGTCTGCATGTAGGAGAATAATACAGTTAATACTTACCGAGAGAGCAAATGAGCGGACCACCAGCAAACAGTACACTGCCACACCCATCACGATGAAATATATGATGCCTAAAACGATGTTCAGTGAGAGGATTATAGCGAGTATCCCCAAGATAATGTTGATAGCAATGACGATAGCCGTCACCCACACCCATCCCATCACATAGCTGCGTCTTTCCTGCAAGGAAAATAACCTAAGTTCAGTTTACATCAACTAGTAAAGTACTAAGTAAAGCTTTGATTTACTTACTGCACGATTTTTACAATGACCTTGAGGACACACAGGTGTTATTGGCATTATATATATATATATATTTTATATATAATATATATATATATATATATATATTATATATATATATATATATATATATATAATATATATATAGTACATGCGCATTACCATAAGGCAATCCAAGATAGATAAACAAAGTGACTTGGTTATTGTTGTAATTAGTCTCAAGTGTGATTTGCTCGAAGTACAGTATATAAATTGTTCGGTGTAAATTTATGATTCGTGAGGAAAAACTTTGGCAGACACAGTAAAGGATCATGACAGATTATTAATTATTGTTATTATTATTATTTTTGTGATTATATTATTATTATTATTATTATTATTATTATTATTACACTCATGGCGCTAGATATCTTTTCTACACCCAGAATGACTAAACGTAATTATAGATACGTTTCCTACACCTATAATGACTAAATGTAATTATAGATACGTTTCCTACATCTATAATGACTAAATGTAATTATAGATATGCTTCCGACACCTTGGATGACTAAATTAAATTGCAGTATGCCATTCCGTCAGCCAGAACAGTGAAATTGCAATTCGACTGACTTACCTTCCTGACACCAATGATGAGAATAATCGCCATGATGACAGAGAGGATGTTGATGATAAGCTGTACCCATCCTTGCTTAATACCTGTCGGGGAGAGTCAAGCCTGTGACATTACGCTAGCCAGGGGGGGGGGGGGGGAAACGCCGAAACCGTAGGGGTGGGGGGTTTATACAGCGGTATCCCCGACGGAGGGAAAAGAGATCCGGGGATATAAGGGGTGTTGGAAATGAGAGGTGATTAAGTTTGCTGGTAATAGAAGGGAAGTCTAATTCCTTGGATCAAGAGCCCTTCACCGGGATGAAGGGAGGGGTGAAGTACAGCAGAGAATTTGTATTTTATTTCTGCTGTAATATTCTAAAGTTCAGTATAGTAATGTTAATTATTATAATGTTAAATTATTATTATTATTATTATTTAGCTATTGCAACAAAGGAAGGGTAGAAGTTTCCATCTACTTACCATTGGCAACTTCATAGATGGAATAGATGGAATTGATAATACCGAACACCTATAGATAAGGAAAAGAAAATATATTAGAATTATGTCAAATGGGAGATAATACATTATATTTTACTCTTCATCCCTCTTTTCTACCTCATTCATCCTCTCTCTCTCTCTCTCTCTCTACTCACCAAGGAGATGATGCCTATAGCGAGGGAGCCGCTACGCAGACTGCAGCCACAGCAGGAGCTACTCAAGACACACTTGTCAGACATTCTGCAAGAGACAACAGAGTGTTAAGAGTGATAGTGGTGGTAGAGTGATAGTGGTGGTAGAGTGATAGTGGTGGTAGTAGTAGTAGTATTAGTAGTAGTAGTGTTTTATGTACAGGATGCATTTATTTTCTGGTGTGTGTGTGTGTGTGTGTGTGTGTGTGTGTGTACTCACATAATTGTAGTTGAAGGGGTCGAGGCTCAGCTCCTGGCCCCGTCTCTTCACTGAACCCTACTAGGTCCTCTCTCTCCCTGCTCCATGAGCTTTATCATACCTAGTCTTAAAGCTATGTATGGTTCCTGCCTCCACTACATCGCTCGCCAGACTGTTCCACTACCTGACCACTCTATGTGTGTGTGTGTGTGTGTGTGTGTGTGTGTGTGTGTGTGTGTGTGTGTGTGTGTGTGTGTGTGTGTGTGGTGTGTGTGTGTGTGTGTGTGAGTGTGTGTGTGTTATTACTATCGGCAGGAGCTGGTTAGGTTATAGTGTGGGAAGGTGTCGTTGAGGGCGCGTTCACCTGTGCCGCTCCTGGTCTACTGTGGAAATATAAACACATATGCAGTATAATGTGATCCTTTATTAACAACGTTTCACCCACACAGTGGGTCAATAAAGGATCACATTATACTGCATATGTGTTTATATTTCCACTGTGTCGGTATTTGATACCATTTATTTCCATCCTGGTCTACTACTGGATGGTTCATTGATTTCAAGGCCTATTAAAGCCTGTAGCCAACCGACTATCAACACAAGCTAACTGACTATCAACACCTCTCGGTGTATATAGTGTGACTTCGTCAACTGAGAGATGCACACTTCTCAGTATATACATCCTCTTCGCTGTTTTTTGTTTAATATATATAAATCTGATCCGTGGATATGAAGCAGCGTTATTAAAGGCTTCACTGCCGGCACAGGTGAAGCACACTGGGTTATTCAAGGGTTCAAACTGCCAGCACAAATGAAGCACACTTGGTCACTCCCTAGCTTCCTGCTGATCAGGTAGGTACCAACGCTGCAACTCTGTGTTGTTTACACATAGAAGATACTTATATTATCTGAATGAGACTTGTCAAACCTTACTGTGGGAGTCATTAATATTATTGTACGTCACCTTTGCGCAGCAGCACCTTCAAGGATTGTCTGCAGTACCAACTTAGGTTTCATGTTATCAGTTCTCAGGGAGTCGCCGTTAATATGATTGGTTTTCTGAATTGCATATATAATGTGAAAAAATATAGTATCCGGTCGCTTACATTGACATTTTGTCATACTGAGTGAGCCCAGACTGGTGACGTCTTCATACGTATGTTGATGTATCAGCCTCCCAGGAGTCGGCCAGCAGTTTACTCACGACTCTAGAAGTTTTAGCAACGTCACTTAGTCGTCTTTTATTATTGATAATTATATTTGTATTAATTCTAATGTATTTATGGGAAAAGCTCCAGACAGAAGATATGATGTATCTCCTGAAGGGATTGAGAGATCACCTGGTATATCTTCTGATCTTGGGGAAGCACATTGCTAGTAGGAGGTAATACGGTACATGGGGAATGGGTGGGGTCACGTTAATTAGAACCAAGGAAGAGGAGGGTAACCCCAAAAGCCCTTCAACTGTATGAAGACGCCTCACATGAAGGATAGTAGTGTTGTAGTGGTAGTGGTAGTAAGACTGGTCCACGATTGGTTCTCTCTGAAGCTCAGTCGTAACCTTGAAACCAGTCCACCCAATACTTCCCTCCCTCCCCTCCCCATCCTTCTCACTCTTCTCCCTTCACCTCTCGCCCATTTACTCCCTCCTACCTGCCTTCTCCCCTTCCTCTATCTCCCCCATTCACTTGATACGCTTTAACCCTGTTAATCTGATTTATTTTTCTAGTTCACTCCTTTATTACTCTCAGGTTTCTCTTGCTATTCCTCATCATAGTATTGTGGTAAGACAATCGAGTCACAACTGAAAATACGAGGGATGATCTGTGAGCGAGGTGAGACATCTAACCTTGTTACCTCTAGTAGTAAACTGACATCTAGTAGTAGTCTGTTATGGGTGGCATCTTAGATACCTACTTTTTTACACATAACTTATAGAAAAGACTTATGAGATTTAATGCACACTGTTTTTTTTTTTTGAGTGGAATTATCTTGGGTTAAGGTTGCATTATAATTAATGTGAATAAGTTACCTCTTATCACATCTATTAAATTTTCTTGCTCAATCAGGATGTTTCCTCCTCCTTCCCCCGTGTTTATGTCCTGCCGTGTTTATGTCCTGCCCGCGTCCTGCCGAATACTCCTTCCATTACTCTTACACTATCTTATGCACTATAAACTCTCTAGACTAGAAGGCACTTAAGGTGTCGTCCACTAAGCTTCACAGTCACTCGGTGCTGGCAGCGCCCCAGCATCGCTGTCTTCAGCTGTTCTAAAATCATCGTGCTGTGGGGAGGAAGGGGGGAGTGTTTATACTCCATCCTTCCCTCCTTGTCTATCCCCCTTTTCCCCACTTGGTGGAATTTTCTTCGCCAGGAGAGATGGGAAAATTACTTCTGATAAGTCTGGCAGGTGATGAACAGCTCACCGGAGCTTTCTGTCATTTGACAGAGGCCATCCACAGGTTCACCTCCCTCGTACTTCCCTCTGTTCCCGTGGTCGAGGTCGTGAAAATTTTAAGAGTAAATGCATAATACTAAAGGACTTCGACTACATATATGACTTAGTAAGACCCGCGTCTGGAAACACTTGTCCTGTTATCTGACAAACCTTATCTAACCTAACCTTCGACTACATTTTTTCCTAACGTGTAAAACAAAACTCTAGGAATCACGCTAGCTGAGACGGTCTCAGGCTGTCGCAGTTTCTTGTCTCAATCAACAGGCAGAATACTAAGTTCTACAGCCGGAAATTTCAAGTATAAAGCAGCAGACACAAATCTTAGTACATAATACACCCTGAATAAGTCAGTGAAGCGAAGATGAACTTAGAGTACTTTCATGGGGGAAACCTCGAAGAATTTTTTTCCAAAAGGAAGTAAAGACAAAGCTAATATATTTCAAACTTCCTATTCATCTTCCTTCTGTTTATATTGCCATATATCTGCTCTCTACAATTATATTTTTTATATAGTTTCACAGTCACTCATTAGGTCACTGTCTTCCCAGAAGCGCGATGACACCAGTTTGGATGCCCTTCCAAACCGTAATATTAACCCCCCCACCCCTCCAGGGTACAGCCACAGTGCTTCCAACCTCCAGGACTCGAGTCCGGCTAACCAGTTTCCCTGAATCCCTTCATAAATGTTACCTTGCTTACTCTGACAGCACGTCAGATCATAAAAACTACGTGTCTCCAATCTAATCTACCACGGACACGCAAGCCTGTTGTATATCCTAGCCCCTAGCACCCGAAACCTCCTTTGCCCTCTTCCTCCAATCATTCCTACCCCTACCCCCCCCCCTTCTTTTCAGGCCAGATTTATAGGCCCTCCTAGTCGAGCTATTTTTCCCCCACCTCTCTAAATGCCCAGGCCACCTCAACAACCCTAATCTCTAATCTCCACACCTAATCTCTAACTCCGAATTCTCTGCACAATCATGCGCCACATCACCTCAAACACATCCTACTGCCTCCAGCCTCCTCCTCGCTGTAACATTCAAAACCCATGCTTCACACCCATACAGCTGTGTTGGTACCACCATACTCTGGTATATTCTTCTGTTTTGCATCCATGAATGAAGTTCCTTGGCTCCACAGATGCCTCAGTGTCCCACCCACCTTGTTCCCTTCGCCTCTTATAGAATCTTCTGCCAAAAAATCCACTCCCAAATATCTGTTGAGCACATTTACTCCATTCTCCCTTCAGTCTGATATCCAATCTCTCAGTACCTATTTCGTTTAATACTATCATCACCATGCTCTTTCCTATGTTCCTTTTTTTTAATTTTTTTCTTTCATGTACCTTCACAAATTCGTTTACCAACTTTTGTAACTTTTCTTTAGAAGCTCCCAAAAGAACTGTCATCGGCAAAAAGCAATTGTGATAACTCCTCTCCATACCAGATTCACTTTCAATCCCACACCTCTCCCCAACACCCTAGCATTCACTTCTTTCACAACCCCATCTATAAATATGTTAATCAACCATGGTGACATCACGCATCTCTGTCTAATTCCTGTTTTTACTGGCAAATAATCTCATTCACCCCTTTTATGTGATTAGATCCTCTCTGACCATATAAAAGCTTTATACTGCTATTTACTATTACTGGTACTACCACAACTACACTTGCTAATACTGCTGGTATTGTTGATGTTACTATAACAATCACTATCACTACGATTGCTACACTAACTACTATCACTAATATCTCAACCACTATGACTGCTACAACCACTACTATCACCCCTACCGTCTCAGGTTTCACTAAGAGGCAGGTTTACGACCCCTGATATTCAACACTATGGCTGAAACTTACACAAGCCGTCCCACGCCTCAACCAACCTGGTCACGAGAATGTTTGTGCAGTAGTAGTAGTATGACTATCATAGTCATTACAGCTTACCCTATACATAGCGTCTAAATAAAAGTACAATACAAGCGATTGCAGTGGTTTCGCACGTCAGAAATTTGTACATCCGTAGCCGACCCTACTGCAAAAAATGCATTACGTCTGGCAGCGTTGTTTGCCTATTCATCTTGCCAAATTATACAGATGAAAAGAAATTATTAAATTCTTTTTTGGTACATCCTTGAACAAATTTGTTTCAACCGCTGTTGTTGATTACATTGAAGTAGATTCTAAATGCCAGGCGAAGGTGACGAATCACAGAGCTGCTCAAAAAGGTCAGTCTATTTGGAATACGGAAGGAAGCACTGGCCAGAGAAACAGAAAATATCGAACCTAAGCTTAAATCATACAGGAGCCAAGAAACACAGGAACTTAAAGCCATAAGTGAAATTGGAAAAAGTCCAAAATATTTTTAACTCCAAATTTAGGGCAAAAAACTGGTGGCCTGGTGGTTAACGCTCTCGCTTCACACGGTGAGGGCCTGGGTTCGATTCCCAGCCAGAGTAGAAACGTTGGACGTGTTTCTTTCCACCTGTTGTCTATGTTCCCCATCAGTAAAATGGGTACCTGGGTGTTAGTCGACTGGTGTGGGTCGCATCCTGGGACACTGACCTAAGGAGGCCTGGTCACAGACCGGGCCGCGGGGGCGTTGACCCCCGGAAATCTCTCCAGATAAACTCCAGATAAACTCCAGTATCGGACCCCTGCTTAAAAGAGACGGGATTTACACAGCTAAGAAATGAGTGAGACACTGAAGTCTCAGTACGACTCAGCGTTTAGTGAGCCTTTAGTCATACCAAAGGTTGACAAACTAATTTAATTTTTTTTTTTTTGACAGACTCAAAATTTGGTTAAATCAAGAATTCCTGATATAATAACACAAAACTTAGAGAAAGCAATGGCATGCCCATGCACTCTGTCCAGGGCCCAGACTCGTGAAACTCAGTGTTCATCAAGAACTGTAAGATCCCCCTTTTACGTGCCTTAAATATTCTATGGAGAAGGAGCATAGACACGGGGGTCATCCCACAATCACTAAAAACAACTGATACAGCTCCATTCCATAAAGGTGGCAGTAAAGCAATTGCAAAGAATTAGAGACCAATAGCACTAAAGTCCCACATTATAAAAATCTTTGAAAGGGTTCTAAGAAGCAAGATCACCAACCACTTGGATTCCCAACAGTTGCACAACCCAGGGTAACGTGGGTTTAGAGCAGGTCCTCCTGCCTCTCGCAACTATTGGATCACTATGACGTGGTCTACAATGCAATGGAGGACAAACAAAATGCAGATGTAGTATATACAGACTTTGCAAAAGCCTTAGACAAGTGTGATCATCGTGTAATAGCACACAAAATGCATGATAAAGGAATAACAGGAAAATTGGGTAGTTGGATCTCCAGGTATAACTTCCTAACAAATATAGAACACAGACTAAAGTCAGGGGCGGCTACAGTGAAAACCTCTGTTCCACAGGTACAGTACTCGCTAACATATATATATATATATATATATATATATATATATATATATATATATATATATATATATATATATATATATATATTAAAATATTCCCCGCCTAGTCGCAGTTAAGAAGAATGTATTTGTCCCCAATAAGGCGAATGGGCGTGGCCCAATTTTGTGGAAGTGGGCGTGGCCCAATTTTGTGGAAGTGGGCGTGGCACAATTTTGTGAAAGTGGGCGTGGCACAATTTTGTGGAAGTGGGAGTGGCACAATTTTGTGAAAGTGAGCGTGGCACAATTTATATTCAGTGATGACCTAAATAGGACAGTCCAAACTTGTTTCAGTTCACAAAGTTAAAGGTTCTTATAACTCACTTGATCATTTATATATATATAATATATATATATATATATATATATATATATATAATATATATATATATATATAATGTCACGAAATTAGCTCCATTATATATGCTTCATTATATAAAGATTCTGCTTTATCCACTAATCCACCAGGAGGCCTGGTCACAGACCGGGATGCGGGGGCGTTGACCCCCGGAACTCTCTCCAGGTAAACTTCTCTTCTAAGTATAATTTCTCGTACACCCACTCCAGGATAGAGATATCTCAAAAAAAGAAATCCAGTTTTTCCCTGAGCCTTTCACCAAATATTCTGATAAGGCAATTCCCAAGAGACAGTAACTTCAGCTCTCCTGAAACGAATTCTTTCAAACTGCCGTAGCTGACGAATCTTACTGATATACTTGACGATATTCGAATTGCCCTGCTAATGTCTTCCAGTTCTGGCTGACAGATTTCATCACCTTATATGAGCCTCGTCCTGAGTTACGGAATATGACAGGAAAACACAAGCTTTTGTTCCCGCTGTGTCACTGTAATATAAAGTTGAATAGGGCAGCAAAAAGTTAATGTAACCAGGTTTGTTCAATAATAATTAAAAAAAAATAAAAAACGATTGATATGATGTCGCACTGTGTAAGTACAGGAAGCACACAGTATATTGCAGTCTCTCAAACAAGGTGATGCTGTCCTTTCGCTTACCCGTTCAGCTGGTACCCAGCCAAACGGCGCTTAACTTGACTGAGTGACGCTCAAATTTACAGTTCCACGTTCAGACTCTTCACTATATAACACACCAGGAAACTTCGAAGTATTCATTCAGTTTCTTACTGAAGAAAACAGTGCACATTTTCTGGAAGTTGAACATATCATCCTTTGGGAAGAACAGACAGATTTCGGTATTCATTTTCAACAGACACTTCTGGCTACTGCTGCTCTGTTAAAAATCATCTTCAGAAGAAAAAATATTTTACACACAGAAGAGTGGCATATGAGTCAGATGACAAGCTGGAAATCACGCACCTTGCAATCGTGGACACAGGCGACAGCAGGTGTTCGAAATACTGAAGAACCTTTCAAAGCAACTGCGTACTCCCGCTCACTCAGACTGGCCGACGCCCCGAGAAAGTAGTTGTTGTACCGCACTGAACCATAAAATGTTCCTGCCATTAATAAAATACATCCGTCTCTCTTGTTTCTGTTATTAATACAAACTCAACTTTGACTAAGAACCTATTTTATGTTTTTACCTCAGCGTTTTTTTTTTATGTAATGTAGGTAAATAACACAAGCAGGCAACCTCGACTTAATACAAACTTGTTCCGCGTATAATTTTCCAAGCTTCTTGCCGAAAGATGTTGACAGCGGTTGAGATGTGCACAATATTTCTTAAGTGGTATCACTGTTGTCAGGCAACAGAGTCCCTGGGCACTGAAAGAGTAACACATACATCTTTACGAATACTCTTCGCGCAAACAGATTGCCACAATTTGGCTCCATTATTAAAAACATAAATAGTTCTTGGGCTCCCTACAGCTGAGTTCTGCTATGAACGTACTAATAATCTGTACACCTCCTTCATGGCACCGCCGAGGCGAGGCAAAAGTATTGTTGTGAGAAGCATGAACGTCCGAAAACATCCTTTGACATAAGATTCATAAAATTGTAGCGAGGATTAAACTTAGCGCTTCAGGTTGTCTCAGGCACTCTGTAATTGACGTCTCGGTCAAGATCACTATCTGTCCTGACGAAGGAGGGTTAAACAGCGGTAGTCTATACAGTTCTTTCTCGCTGACAGAACGTGAAGTGCTGAAAAAAGAGTGATGCGAAGGATGAGTGATAGAAGTCGGTGGTAGTGCTCGGCCCACAAGCAAAAGAACCAGGGATCGATTCTCGCATTCATTGCAAACTCATTCTCCCGCCTCGAGTGATGTGGAACGTCTGACGTGCGCTTTTGCAGTTATCTATTACGCCCTAGTTTTGCAGTCATTCTAATGCTTTCTTCTTTTCGCATATAAAATGTCAGTGTTTACACAACCCCTATGCTTGCATGCATAAGTTGACCTTTTGAAGAAAGTATAACGAAGAGTTAATGTCAGATTCTTTCCCCTCCCACATACACACATTGGTGCAAAAATAGTGCGATAAGCTCAGCAGATAAATATATTATTTTGTTAAGAGTTAAACTCGTGTGGGTCATTCAGCGCAAGAATTAGTGCACAGTTCAAGACACTGAGGACACGTTTCCCCACAAAATGGCTTCTTCAGTCCTCTAAACATCGTCCACGACATGTTTACAAATGAGAAAGTGCCAGAAAGAAGGGCAAACAAAATGGAACTTTCAGATTCCAGATACTGGAAGGTTAATGTGAGGAGACTTCTGGTAGTACTTGATATCTCAGCAGCATCTCTGTCAGCTCATAAGTCACTACTGGCACGAGAAAAAAACAGCAGAAATATTTGGAAACCACTTTGAGATTTGTAAGAAAACTATTAGAGGGTGAAATTCCAGACCTCTGGATGTATCAAACGTGCTTCTTACTACACTCCCCTCAGGCAAAGTTCATGATGCTGGTGAGCGGCTATTGATCTTTGGAATTGGATATGTACTCCGGTTCTTTGAATTAAGCCTGAATGCCTTCCATCCCCCCATTTCCGACAGGCAAAATATGCTCCCAATGGGTTTAGCGCTCCCCCATGATAATGCTAACTACACTCCAAAATAAATATACAGTAAGAAAGCTTCGTTAATAATCTAGAAAACATTAAATCTTCGCAGAATACAACATAGATTTAGAAATGGAAGATAGCACCTTACAAATTTCAAGACATTTGACAGATGCCAGACAAGAAAGAAAGGAACGGGTGGACTAAATTAACCATGACTGCAAGCCCCTGTAAGACCCTGGTGGGTTAGCGCTTAGTTTTGATTATAATTTTTGATAAGTTGTTACGTTGGTTACTGAACAAACCGGAGAACCAGATTGAATTAAGAGGAAGCATATTAACATGGATAAAAAAAAATAATCAGGCATGAGCAGCAAGTCAATATACGGAAGGAAACATCAGGATGGGAGAGACTGTAACTTGTGGCGTCCCACAGGAGTCATTGTTGGGTCCTATACCGAGACTATGGCTCCAGATAGCACTCCTGTACACATGTCATCGCGTGACTAGGAACAATCTTCTAAATACTTTGTCCTTGGTATTTCCTCTATAATTTACATTAAGTGTTCCACGCGAGTAGCCTGTACTTTTGTCTTGTACTGTGTTTTTTGTACACTGTGCTGTGATGATGTCATGCGTTTAATGCTGCCCCCGCTATCTCGAATCTCTCAGGGAGAACTTTGCGTTATCGGGATGGGAATTACCTACAGGATGACATCAGTGACACATGTTTATACCTTTATTAGCGACGACGTTTCGCTCACACAGTGGTCTTCGGCTTCATGGGAAAAGGAAGGATATCATTAATAAAGTTATCCACCTCGTGTAAATGATACTTGCTCATTCATCAATAAACTTGTTTTTAGGAGAAAGAAACCTTGTGACGACGTTTCGGTCCGTCCAAAGCGTCCGAACCGAAACGGCATCAGGATCCTCTCCTGAATGTAGGATTATTGGTGAAGTGTTGTAGTTACTGTACCGTGACTTGTAATCCTCGTCACCAGCAGAGATACCCAAGTGCGTCACTCTGTACCAAGATGACCGAAATGTTGTGTATTTTGTTTTTCTAATTGATTTACATTATTTCAGATCACTGTATAAATAAAATATACAGCAATCTGAAAGTCCATCGTATGCAGAGCATTTTGAGGATGTGTGCAATGCTGTCCAGAGTGCCTCTACTCTTGCTGATGAGTATTCTGAGTTCTTGGTAAGTATTGTGAACCGTGGGTAAGTTTTGTGAGTTGTGGGTAAGTTTTGTGAGCTCGTTCGAAAAAGCTTTATTTTCACCGCCACTATTGTAGCCACATTTCGCACGTTTAACTGCAAGTTGGGAAATTTGAGAAAACCGGCAGCCATACGTCTGGCAATGAGGTGACATCAACAAAACAGTGACGATGACACTGACACACACACACACACACACACACATACACACACACACACATACACACACATACGCACACGCACACATACGCACACGCACACATACAACACCAACAACGCACACAACATACGCAACACACACGCACCACACATACACACACACACAACACACAACACAACAACACTACACACACAATACACACACACACACATACCACACACACACTACCACACACACAACACACACCATACACACACACCACACATACACACACCATACAACACACACACACACACACACACACACATCACACACACAACACACACACACACACACATACACACACATACACACCACACACACACACACACACACACACACACACACCACACACACACACACACACACACACACAAAATCACACTCCACCACTACTGCTATCACTACCACTTATCACTACACCACCATCTCCGCTATCACTACACCACAATCACTAACCCACCACCACCACCCAGCTAAAAATATCACACTCACCATCACTACCACTATTGCCATTATTCACCACCACCACCACCACCACCATCCCCACCCACCATCCAACCCCTTTTTCAATAACTGTCCTCGTTAAAAATTCTGACTGTCCGGAGGGATTGGTAAAGTCAACTCTCTCATCTGTCTCTCTCTGTACTCTACTCTATAACACACTACAAAATTAACACTCAGTAGAGTGCTGTTGTCTTTTTTTCCTTTCTTTTAATGTGGAGTAATGAACTCTTGTGAATCATTCAGTGCAAGTCTGTGGAGGCCCAGTGTCTGAACAATTAGGCTGTTGGTGAACGCTGTAGAGCTTGACATCTCTTGATAAAGAGCTACAAAGAGCGAAACGTCGCTCCAATAAAGCTGTTTTTCAACGTGCTTCATTCACTGGAATTTCCAGTGTTAGTGATCAGTGTTCATGAACATTTGTATACGCGAACCGAAGCCTTGACACAAGAATATGATTGATCAGCTTGTACTTGATTAAGGGGCACGTCAGTTCCCCTATCTTCTAATATATTACTTTTCCCCTATAATCTACCTTGTCCATAATTACTACGGCATTTGCTTTGCTTTCGTTAGGTGAAGTCTAGGATCTTACCTAAATTTATGGTATAACTTAACAAATCTTCTGTTGGAGAGGTCTGACCTCTCCAACACAACTGTCATCAGAGATTTGTTGTGTTATACCATGAATTAAGGAAAGATCCTGGACTTCACCTTACGAAAGCAGACAAAGCAAATGCGGTAGTAATTATGGACAAGGTAGATTATAGGAGAAAAATAATCATGATATTAGGAGACGGGAGACACTTATGTGTCTCTTAATTAAAGTACTTAGTTAAGCTAGTAACTACGCAGGAAGCAGCAGCCGAGTCCACAGGAGGCAGCAGAGTCGAGAAGTGCCCGAGAATGTTGAGTGGTGAGAGGCGGGGATCCTGACACAGTTACTGTTAATGGCACTCACTGTGGCACTGGCCAGCACCAGTGATAAATAAACGTTCAAATTTGAACGCTCTCTGCTTTATTTCGACCACCTCGTTGTCTTCTTTATTTCGGCCACCTCGTAGTCTGCTTTATCTCGGCCACCTCGTTGTCTGCTTTATCTCGGCCACCTCGTTGTCTGCTTTATCTCGGCCACCTCGTTGTCTGCTTTATCTCGACCACCTCGTTGCCGGCTTTATCTCGTCCACTACGTTGCCGGCTTTATCTCGACCACCTCGTTGCCGGCTTTATCTCGACCACCTCGTTGCCAGCTTTATCTCGACCACCTCGTTGCCGGCTTTATCTCGACCACCTCGTTGCCGGCTTTATCTCGACCACCTCGTTGCCGGCTTTATCTCGACCACCTCGTTGCCGGCTTTATCTCGGCCACCTCGTTGCCCGTAACTTTTTTTGTTTGTTTCTCATTTTGTGGTTAAAATAATTTTCTTTTGTAAGATGAATCCGACTTAACTTCACCTAAATAAACTTAACCTAACTTAAAGTTAGTTCAATAGCTCTTTTATGCCCGAATCCCTTAAAAAAGGATTTGACGAACTTAAAATATTAGAAGCACTCAGGTTTCAGTCC